TACAATTTGTACTCAAACGGCTAATCTCCTTCGCTGTCCACAGCTCTTCGTTTAAAGGAGTGAAATTGAGTTGAGAGTCACAGCAGCCCGGTGAACGCTCGTGGTAGGGAATAGAAGTAGTAAGGGGCCTGAAAGGAAGCCCGATGGAAGGTCGGCGCTGGAAGAAGAAATGTAAGAAAGAACGGAACGCATCTAAATGCCGGACTGTTCAACGTCGTTCTGTGAAGGGTACCGGCGAGGACGGGGGTGAAGAGAGCAGTGTTGGAACCAGGCTGGTGTCTCAATCAGCCAAGCAGGTTGGGGCATCTTGGACCCCTGTGGGTGGAGGATAGAGCTAGCAATGGCTGTGAACTATCCTCGAAATGAAAACAAAACTTCTGAAATTATAAACTCTTATCAAATATCAAAATTATATTTGATAAATAGCATACAGTCATTATGAAGGTATAGTAAACTATCGGATATATAATAATATTTTTCCTTCTATTTCCAGAAAAATTATAACTTTTCATAATTTCGTAGAATTTCTTAGAATTTTCTAATTCTAGCTAGAAACCTGTTGACTTTTTGTTATTTTACTAAACAGTCTAGAAAATTTCATCTCTTATTTCAGCATGAATCGCATAGTTTACAAATTTCGTAAGGTAAGAAATTCTTTGACATGAAATTTATTTATGACAGTGTTCAAACTTTTGGTTTTAATCAGGGCTTAAATCTATCGGTAATCCTTTCGGTCCCGGGCCAGTAACCAATGGTGGGGGGAAAAGAGCGACGCGCGCAGCTTCTCGGCGCAGCGGGGCAGGCCGTCACAACTCAATCTAGTGTCTCGGTGACCGTGCGTTTGTGAGTTTCTATTTTCTTCTCTTTCCGTATAGTGCGTTATAATTCTTGACACGGAATCACAGTTTTCATTGGTGGATTAGATTGGGGTATCTGGGATCCTATATTTTCATCTCTCTAGGCTACTAAAACAATGTGATTGTTCGTAAGGTTTGTACCTTAATATCTGTTTGTATTATCTTAGTAAACAATATTATTTCCTACGTATCGAATGTGTTTATAAAGACATTTCTCAGTAATTCTTTATGTAGATATATATTGATGCTTGTTTGTTTATTCAACCTCTAAAAGCGAATATACGATAGATTAATTAAACTTTCATTTTATGTATTTGATAAAATTCTTTGAAGTTTTTAGTATTTAATAAAGTTGTTGATGCTGGAAATACTAAAAAAGCATTTTTATTTTGATGACAGATATCAAATATAAACAAGATTAATGTTAAAATTGATTATCGCCAGTAAGATATGAAATTTAAATTGTAATGTTGATTGTTCCTGTACGTTGCATTTTATTACAGTTCGTAATAGACGACAATATCTTAATTCTTTAAAAATACAAAACACAACTGTCTTAAAGTAAATCCATTAAATTGGTAAGAAAGTATCATTATAATTTGCATCTTTACAGAGATGTCAAGTAACTAAATTCATATCATATTCATATTTAATATTTACTTGGTATCATATTTTAAGAGTCGTGAATAATATAATATCGAGTAATACATAATTTAAATGCAAAATAAATAAAAGTATATCTATAAATTAATAAAGAAATATTTTTCAATAAACAACATAGCTAAGAATTTATAATGAAATACAATTTTTCATTGAATATTCTGTATTAATATTTTACTACATAATATAACAATAGTCACTACATATGCAATAATATATTTATTAGCCAAAACATTGACAAAAATAAATTTGAGAAAATCACAACAATCTGCATCCTTAATATAATTAGTTATAGAAAACAAATAAAAGTATAATTATCGTTTACGATTGTCATGTTAATGTGATTTTATAATTTAACTTTTGTTCTCTACTAAACTAACCGCGCCGATTAAAACATCGATATAGATTGATAATTTTACACAAGTATGTAACAATGTATACATTACGCTTCTGAATGCGCTGAATGTGATTACTGATAAAAGAAAAGAAAAAGGAAGGTATGCGTCTTTATTAAGCTAATATAATATGATATGATATAATATAATAATTATTATAATTAATATACATAATGTGTTATAATATACTAATACACATAATTGTATTTATTAAACCAAAGATTGTATTTCTATTTACTTCGAATAAATTATATATCTAAAATACGGCTTTCGTTATAGCAAACGTTGAACTTGATTTTAAAGAGTAGGAAATTTGTAAAAAGAACTCGGCAATATATAATTACCGACCAAATCTTATTTTTTTACTTTTTTTTTTTATAAAGACAATCAATTATCATTTAACGTTAAAATTGACGATGACTAAAATATTATATTTGCACCAAAGAAAACAAAGTGGAAGTATATATGAAAATATACATAATACAAAGGAAGAGATAAGTTGATATTCTCTATAAAGAGTCAAAGAAAATTCTTCGAAATACGCTACTGCAGATCTATCAAATCTCTCTAAAGAAAACAATTGATTATTTTGATCATTTTAATAATCCTAATAATGCCAGTCATCGATAAGTGTTGAACAGTATTCTATCTCGTATGAATAGTTGCGCCTCGTAACCTGTGTTTGTTTAAGCATTATTTCTTAGTGTGGAACAAATCTCTTCTGAATATCGCCACGATCACCATCGACTTAACGGCTTAATCGAATGAGATCACCAGAATCATAAGCATTGATCGAATATTCCCAAGAGCAACGATTAAATTACCATGTACCCTAATTGTAACTGTTTCAACATCTCTTTCCCTTGGTGCGTGTTTCATTCGAAACGAGATTTAAACTTGAGTGTAAAGTAAAGTTGATGATCACTGAAGGTCTATAGGGCTGGCCATCTGTCCCTCGTTGCCACGTCTGCAACGTCTTGGTGGTCCATTTTGGGGCTGGTGCGCAACAGCATCGGCACTAGCGCTGGCAATGAAGCGCTCACAGGTAGAATCTACCCCCTCTCTTTCTCTCACTATGTATGCGCGCTCCCGCACGTGCTCTCTTTCATCCCCTTCTCTTTGCTGTACTCTGCTTTTTTACTGGTAACAGTTGAGAATAGTAGAGAGAGAGAGAGTGAGAGGGAGGGAGGGAGGGAGGGAGGGAGGGAGGGAGGCAGAGTAGTAAAGTTGGAGAACATTCAACTGCGTTGTTCTGGTAGAACTTCTAACAGTGGTCCTTTCTGTCTTCTCTACTGATTGATTGGATACATTGAAAATTAAAACACATAGATTTGTGTACAGTGTGTCCCAGCGAGTGTGATGTAATCGGCGATAGAGTGATTCTACGTGAAAAAATATGAGACTTCGTTTTCGAGAAAATCTAATTTGAAATTTTGTCAAGTATACTTGGCTAATTACAGACTAGGTATGAGTAAACAATCGACAGGATGTTATTCTACCACCTTCACGATTGCTTGTACAAGACGAGAGTATTATTTTCCAACACAATCGCGATTAGTAACTTTACCAGAGTTCTAAAGTAAAAAGACGACGCGAGTTTCTGCGATTGAAGGAAGAACAAAACTTTGGAACGTTTTTCTTTTTTTAAGTCACATTTTCTATTATTTGCTGGTACTAATTCAAGTAAATATAAAAAATTCTTCTTTTAGAATTTTCATTAGCAATTGATCTACTGGCTATTATAGCCATATTATAGCTATGAAAAAACATTATATTATGTCAAGGATCAGTAATACGTTAGTATGATTAGAAATTTTGAGAGATAAGAATACTAACTTTCATTTACATAAATGATAGATATTTTAATACATAACTACAGCGATACTTGCTGCAGAAAAGGCGAATAAAATAAAAATAATATCGATTTTCAAATATTTGATAAGCAATGAGAATAAAATTACCGAATCTGCCGAACATTGCCGCATAGAATTTTTAGATTTCTTGATTCTTTTAGATTATTAAGACGTCAAACGTCTTGATGTTTTCAAATTATAGATATAAGAAAAAAAACTTGTAATATTTAAAGGGTTGAAATTACGGATATCATTTCGTAGTGGCATTTATGATTCCTTAAGTTGAGTAGCAAAAGCTTTCCTATTAACTCGAATGACAAACAGAGATCCGACTTATTTTAAGAACACCATGGAATATCTCTTCCTGTTATGCATCCGTTACAAGAATCTGCAAATATATACTTGGCACCGAGCACAATGCTGAAAATGCAAGTTACGCACATCTAATGCTATAACTGCTACAAATCTATAATGACAATAAACACGTAGACAAGATAAAATTATTATTCGTTTCTTTAAAGCAATCTATAATCTATAATATTAAATAAAATAAATAGCAATCTATAATATTAAATAAAATACGAACAGACTATTTTAGTTGATCTACAATTATAACACTAATTGATAACAAATTAATAAATATAAACAATAAGGTTTGAGTGGAACTTTTATAACACATACAAGTGTTCTTTGTGCATTTTATCACTGTTGTATCATAGGGGAAGATAGGGCAAGATGGAAAATTGTTGTTTACAAGAAACTGTGCATATGTATTACCGTGCACACAAAACGAAAACAAAGAGGTCATCAGCAGGAGTAAATATCAGTACGAAAATTTCGACGTGAAAGATTACACGTGTCATAAATTACAACGCAATTTATTCCAATTTTTCTAATTTTGTCATAAGCATACATAAACCTTGCAGTAGCGTTTTGTGCAGTAGTTGTGCGTATTTCTCGTTGATCTGAAAATGGCAAATTCATATACTTTATAAGTTATTCTTTCACAAACGTAGAATTTTTGGTATAAAATAGTTTGTTATTTTATAAAGAGACACGTAAAGTATTAGCATGTCATGGAGCAAGATGGGATTGGATAAGTGAGTGAGTGAATTTTGTCAACAATGTCTGACCAAGAGACGTTATGCCATGGTCATCCCAGAGGTAACGGTCGACTAAAAAGGGAAGAGAAGCAATCAACATGGAAAACAGAAATTTTAACTTCTTCGCCGTATAGGCAAGTACTACTTCAGTCTAAGAAAGCATCTACAAAAAAAAAAAAAAAAAAAAAAAAAAAAAA